GAACTCAGGTACCCTCTAGGAACACTGCGATGTTGTAATTAGCAGAGAGACTTGTAATGCATTCCCCTGCCAGAAACAAGGGTTGCTGTGGCCACTAGAGTAAAAGAATGTGAAAAGGGATTGGGAAAGAATAGAGAGAGACAGGTAACAGCAGAGAAAACACAGTGATAATTTATTTAAGTATCTCATACTAGAACAACGCAACAAGCACCAGTACGAGCTGAACTGTCAAACAAATATTACAAGAAAATAGAGTTATTTTTAAAAATTTTTTTTAAATAAAATTTCCTTTAGAATGTGCTATTTCAGTGGAGAGCAGAAAGGATACACAGAAGATACCTCTGACACAAGCTTCTACTTCTTAATGTCTAAATTGTGTTAGGTTCTGGTTTGATTTTTGGAGAAATGATGTATTTAACATCCTGTCTGCAGTGCAACAGTAATCTAAACCCCTCTTTTTATTTTCTAGCAAATGCTAGGCATCACTCACATTAAGCTTAACCGTTAACTGTGAACTGTTAACATGTCTTAGTGTGGTTTCAATGTTCCTATGGCAAGGCTAAACAGCATTTAGAAAACAATGATATCCCCAGGCCCGGGCTGTAGTTTCTGAAGCACAGATTAAGCACGGTATTCTGCTCAACAAGCTCATCACTGTTAAGTAACTCATCAGAAAATAAAGAGGGAATTATCAAATGGGAATTGCCAAGTAATTAGTTCTCTGAAGCAGATGACATACAACTGTTAAAGGGAGGGGCTTCCCTGTTAGTCATATGTCAGAGTAGAGCCTACTAATCTGTAAATAAAAAGGCATTACATATGATTAGTGCTATGGGTTTTTAACCGCTAGTGGTACATGGAAAATAAACTTACAACTTCTTCTAGTGCAATAATCCACTAGGATTTTTTTTTTCCTCCTGTATACAGTGAATCTACTTGCTGTCAGACTATCTGGGGAAAGCTATGAACACGGCACAGTACCAGGGAGGGGATGGGCTCAGGGGCTAAAGGGGAGGAGAAACACTTTTACTATCATATTAATTTGAAAATTCACTCTCTACTCAGCTACTACACGTGGCACTGAAAAGGAACTACATCAATGAGAAAACATTCACCAGCACAAAAATTCCAAGCACAGTAGAGGAGGATTAAGCCTGCTTTTAGTGATTATCTTTCTCCATTAAAGCCTAACTTTCTTTTAAGTGGCTGCCCCCACAGAAATGTGAAATTTACAAAACTACAAAGGCCTTCACGCGTGGGTACCTGACACAACAAAATGTGGTAACAGTCACAATCACACTCCAATACAAGCAAGAAACACTTCAACATTTGTACTTTATTACAGAGCGAAGAGCAACTCAATAAATCCTTAAGTCAGGTTTTCATCTAGTCCCAAAGTGAGCTGATCACTGCAAGGAATTACCAGACTTGGGGGTTGCCTCCATCACAGTACCTCACCACAAGAAACCCTTCAGCTACCACACTCAAATCCAGAGGCTGCCACTTGGGCTAAATTTCAACCAAAAGCATACTCCCGGTAACAAGGCACGGCAAATCCCACTGGCATGTCCCTGCCCAGCACACACAGCCGAGGGAGAGGGCAGGAGGAGGGCACGCACAGATGCTGAGGCTTATACACAACTGCACATCACATCTAACCACCTCACCACTTTCAGCCCTCAGCACGGAGAAGTCCTCTGTCTCTCTAATGCTTACTCTAACATCCGAAAGCCCATACTTTAAAGCAAAGCTAACAAGTTACAGTGCGTGGGACAGCAAGCCTCTTACTCCATTTGCAGAGACATCTTTTTAAAACAGAAGCTGGAAGCTGAATCAAACCTCAGGTCTTGGCTTATATACTATTATGAATATGAGCTTTGTGGTTTTATGTCACCTAATTACTATCCAATTATACCTCGTTCACATTTCCATTTCACTTGTTGAAATAATATGTTCAAAATCTCCATTGTATACCTTCTTTTAGCTCCTATAGCTATTGTAGGCCTCACTAAACAGCACGAGGGGGTAGAAATAAAACCAGCTAGGACAAAATGACACTGACATGGCAATCAAAAAGCCACCACTGGACACACTAATATAGAGACAGATTAGCTCTTTTTAAGTTCACTACAAAATATTTTAAAAGGACAGATTTTTGTCCATTTACAGAGAGCAGTAGCCAGAAGTCTGCATAAAAGAGAAATTGTGTCTTATGTAGAATTGAGCCATGTTAGGTAGTGTACACATACTTACAGAAAATTCAGCAAAAAAAAAAAGTTCTTAGAAATGGGCTGCAGCTGTAAATTCAACCCAATACTATAGTATGATTAACAGACTATAATATGATTAATAGATATCAAGTGACTCGACAGTGGAAAAGATTAAAAAGAACTCTTTCGTTGTTAAAACGTCCAGTGTCTCACGCAAAATCCTCTCAACACAACCGCTTAAAAGAAAGCATTGAGTCACTTGCCTACGTGGAAGGAGGCAGGGCACGCTCTGAACAAATAACAATAACTCTAGGATTTTTAGAGCTGGCTAAAATTAACTGAAGTCATGATGTCAAAAAAAAAAAAAAAAGAAAAGAAAAGAAAAAAAGCTGTTATCTATTTTTAAAATTTATTTATTTTTACTAATCCTGGTGTCCTTATTCAGGCAAGATGCTTAGCAGACTCTGCAAGAACGCTGCTTGGACTGGAAGGGCGAGCAGCCCTGGAGCTCCCACACAGCAGCGCCGTTACTCCCTGAAGCCACGCGATTCCTCATGCGAGTAACACCATGAACGCACGTGTATGGCTATCAGGCCTAAAGTCAGGTTTCTGAGATCTGATTTTGGATGCCTTCAGCCAAACACAGCTGAGGTTGGGTCCCCCGGACAGACTGCCTGGTGATAACCCAGCTCTGCCTAAAACGGAGCGGGGCTGTTGCCACCGTCACCCCGAAACAAACGGGGTGAAAGCGGGAGACGACGAGGGATCTCAGCACGTGATGCTCTGTCTGGAGCTGTGAATCCCATCTGGGGCTGCTCGCTGCCTGCCACCAGGTCACATCTCTTTCACATGTTACTACTGTGAGCTCTCCCCCCCTGCATCCAGTGACAGCCAGAAGGTTTTGTAAACAGGGAGTCCCACCCCAGTAACTTTCATGTCACTTACCTAGCTTTAGGGTGGGCCTGATTTTGATCGCTCCCTAGAGAAAATGAAAACTAACTAACGAGGCCAACAGGGGTACCCCAAACTCAGTGACTAAGATGTCCAACAACAAGAAAAGAAGCCAAAACAAATCTGATTTAAGGTCCACAAAACTAGTACTATACCTCAAGCTTCACTAGTACAGAAAAAAGCAGCATAGTACTCTACTCCTTGAATGCCTCTGCACCGGACTTCACTAGGTTACTTTTTTAACCCAAAATGTTTGCTTAACATCTAATAAACTCTCTTTCTCGTGTAATCACAGGAAATGCCAGATGCTAAAATATTCGAGGTGACTTAGCAATAATAATTGTGGTTAACACAATCTATTTATTCAGAGGGTTTGACCAATATGCTATCAACAATTACTTCTTCTAATTAAGAGATAGAAGTCTTTCCTGTAGTAACAATTTCTGCAACTAAATACAATTTCATACAACCTAAGCTAATTCTGAAAAAAAATTAAAAGCTTTGCGGAAATGTTAATGTCATAACAAAAAGCTTCCTTCTATTCAATCTCCCAAGTCAATAGCTGCTACCAAGTCCGCTTTCTTCCAAAACCGAAAAAACGAAATGTGCCAGCGCACGGGCACTTGGGCTGTTTTTTCACTCACAAGAAATTCTCATTGCTCCAAAGAGATATAGTGGTTACAGTCCACCCCCACCATCCAAGCTCATTTGTAAACCGTAACAGGCATGTCTTCGCATGTAACTACTTGCTTAGACAACTTCCCTTTAAAGCACAGCACCCTTCCCCGCAGCTACAATAAAATGTAAATGATGCACTGCATACTCCTCTATGACATGCTGTATACATTAAAAAGTTATTCTGCAATGGAGACTTTCTGATCAGCCCCTCATAAATAGAACGCTATAGTAATTAAGTTTTCTGGCTGTAAATAGAAAAAAAAAAATCCTTTGATTTTCTGCAAGTACCCACCACATTTAATTTTCTTTTCTTTAAAGACACTGACAATTTTCTTAGGACTCTTTATCTTTTTTTTTTTTAAGCATTAGCAGTATTGCCAATCCCAAGCACTAAAAATTATATAACAGGTCCAAAAAGCCAGGCTGGCTTAATGACAATCAGATTAAAGAAATAAAATAAAAATTTATGTTCTTTTTATTGGCAGTATGATCGCTGAGCCTTGAGACTTGGTTTTTTCAAAGTATTCTCCACAACCATATGGAAAGGAGAGAGAGAGAGAGGAGAGGGGGAGCAGGCTGATCCACGGACACTATTACATCCTGTCTGGCTACAGCATTTCAGGGGAAAAAAAGTCAGAAGAATTGAAAACATTCCTCAAACCAGAGTAAAAGACACCCAGGCATGTCAGCAGCATCTAGTTAACCTGGAAGCATCCTTATGCCAGACAAAGTTTAGTGCACGGGAGGAATTCAGGACACTGGAAGAGTGAAGCAGGCTGCTAGAACCACTAAAAGCACTCATAAAAGTGCAGGAAGGATTTATACAATTTTACGCCTGGCATTTTACAACAAAAATCAAAGCTTGTAAACCTTTCCATTCATGCTATCATCTTTTAGTAACTGAATACGACCTGACCTGAGGTGAGCATAAAACCACTCATTTGGAACCCACTGTCCTGTAAGTTACGGAACTGAGTCACCAGAGTTAATGGAATTTTTTCTGAGGAGAGTTTCTCAAGGACCTCTACTGCCAGGCAAGGGAAGTACAAACGTGTGACAGGCAGGTAACCCTGTCCACACCGCTGTGGTGTCCACGCTGACTACAGCCCAGAGCAGACACTGAACGCTCGTTAGAGGAAACAAGAAGCATGACATTCTCACCTTATTGGCAGTGCATATCTGTAGGTTGAAGACAAAAAATGAAGGTGGTCACTGTCCTACGGGGTTCAAGAATAAATTCACAGCTTGTATTGCTTGCCCATCTGCCTTGGCCTGCGATGTGACTGTTGATCCGGGAGTTGAGGAGACGGGAACCAAAATAAAAAGAAACAAAAGCATAGTTAAGAGTCAAACAATTTACAACATGCTATGACATCCCACTAAAGACAGAGAGAGTGCTTTTGCTATTACTCAAGCACAAATAAACTATAGATTTAATCCTGCAGACGGAGCACACACAGTTGAGAGCAGAGCCCATTTATTCAAACTGACTGCTCTTTTCCTAAATGTGATCTTAATGAGGTGAAGAATCATAAGCAAGTCGAGATGACTGTCTTCACTGCCAACAAAACATATTTTATTTGAGGAGGGGCATCATCCAGAAAACATACTGCTGCAACTACTACTATTAGGTGCAAAATAATCAGCTTTGAGAATGTGACATTACCTTATGCACTATTTTCTCATTAATGGTGGCATGCTGGAGTTGATGCATATTACTGAAAATTCCCAAATAATATAAACAAAGGAAAACTCTACCCTTTTTTTTTTTTTTTCTATTTCTGCATTTTTGCTCAGTAAAATTACGAAGAGTCAGTATTGAATTTCTGCTGACATCACATGCTAAACAAAATACATTTTGTTTTTTGCACTTGGAATCTCACCAAATATTTTTATCACTCTTGGGACAATAAAAGGATTTACTGGGACCATTTCTCCCTCACTGAGAAGCATTTTTGTTGTTTCAGTTTATGAGCATACTTACTTGTTCCTATTTATGGAAGGATTTACACACATACTTAACTCTAGATAGGTTCTTTAATCAATCCTCATTCAGCAAAACCCTCACTGGGACATGCACTAAAGTAACTTTGCAGACTGGGACCAATGTACAGACACAGATTTGCATGTGTTGTACAACCATCTCAGACTACAGCTTTGAGGGGGCAAAAAAATAATAATGAAGTACTACATTCTCAACATATGCACTGAGATCAAAACGGAATTATGGTCATAGATCCAGTTTTTGTCTTTTTGCAAAAGTCAAGAGTCTGCAAAGTTTCTTATGTTTTAAAACATTAGTCATGTATCAGCTCAGCCAAAACCAAACAAAAAACTTCAACTTCTTTAGATAAAGAATGCAAACCAACGAACAAGACTCGAAAATACAGTGCCTTTGTCCAAATACCTAATTATTTATTTATTGCACCTAGAGACTTGCATAAAAGTGAAACGGAAGGATGAGCTCAGGGCTTTCAGTTTGCAAAGCTTGGGCTACTGAACTCACTGGGATGCAGCACATCATTTCTTCGCACCGAAATATTTACCTGTGCCAAGCTGAGCCTGCCCTACTTCTGTCTCTCGTGCCAACTACGTTTTTACTAGTTAAAGCAGAGCTGGTTACGGCAGCCTCCAAAGAGACCTGCGCGTAAATCTGGTATCTGCACTCTGCGAGCTGTACGCACCGTGCCTCCACAGCGCAGGGTGCACCCTCCTTTTCCCCCCCCAAAAAAAAAGCAGCCACATCACCCTCAGACCTGTACGCCGGGCTAACCCAGGCTGTCACATCGCCCGGCTCCTCGCAGGCTGGAGGAGGTTTGCAGCCTCGGACCCTCCGTGCAGCTCTGGCGGGCACTGCCTTCACAGCCCGTCACACGCAACTTCTTCACCTTCAACTTCTTTAGATAAAGAATGCAAACCAACGAACAAGACTCGAAAATACAGTGCCTTTGTCCAAATACCTAGTTATTTACTAGGAACTGCCTCTCCCCTTCCACCAGTCCAGGGCCACAAAAGCAACACGCTGTAGGAACAGCAGAAACCACGACCCCGGCTGCCCCCCGCTACCACGCGCTGCTTAAACTTCAGCAAGGGGAAAAAAATCAGGCCTTGATTTTTCTTCTACCAGCTACATTACTGAAACAATTATTTTTAAATCCTAACGTTTAAACCCTTAGTTGCTTTTCAGGTGACTGCATTTAAGGGTCTATTTTCTTAATTAACCGGAAACTAGGCCACTGGATCTATTACATAAAAATTTTTGTTAAGTGAAATTCCAGGTCTCTTGCAAATGGCTTTTCAAACAAGACAAGTTTTTTTCAATCTTTGCAAATAAATTCAACGGGGCCAGAAGGGCACGGGAGAAAAGCTGCACTGTTAATATCCAAAAAGTCTTTTAACTGTGTATACATGGCCTTTTTGAAAATAATTACTTTCTAATGCTCTTAGTCACACAGGTAATTTGTCTTACAATAAAATATGTATAAGCAGCATGCGGCACACAAAGGCTCACTCTACAGGAGTCATCCTGCACGCGATTATTTCCCTCTCTCCAGCCAGTCCTCCCAACAGCCTCCTCTATTTCAACCCACCTCCTCGTAGGGTAGGGAGGCCCGAAACGGAGGCGGCCGTGTCGAGCAGAGGGAGACTCCCTCCCAAAAAGAAGGGCGAGTTGGTCGCAGCACTGAGAAGCTGCACTTTGGAGGTGGGAAACTGCCTGCAAAGTCCATGTCCCCTTGCCCCTCCGAGGAGAAACATCTCTGCTCGGCAGGTGGGCTGAGACCTGCAAACTCATCACACCAAACCCCAGCCCACCAGCTGCCTGGCACCGCAAGAGCTGAACCACCAGCAGGCGTTTCTCATTACCTCCTCCAGCTCCGGTGCTTTACCATCAGAGCGATTAAAATATCTTATTTTACTGAGATATTTCTGGATTGCATTATGTTCCAGCCTGGTACTACAAACGCTCGGGAGCTGTGGGTGCTGATGATTTCTCATCACTGAGACACGAAATCCTCCCGGCCAAGTTCAATATTAGTGTAAGTGCACGCAAGATTAGTGACTGAGATGGGGGTGTTAACCACTTCTGCAGACGCTTAACGCAGCTTCCTTAATCAGGCAAAAATCCTATTTAAGCCCACAGTGCTTTTTGCTGTAAAAAGATAGAGAGAAAATAATGGTGATATGCAGCAGATCGCTTTCTGAGCTCTGTTACTCTACTACATGCCTGGATTAAGTCCAATAAATGGAGTTATTCTAGATATACACCAATTTAAGTGGCTCACAACCCCGTCCCCTGGAGTCGCTCCAGGTTTATGACATTAGAACAGAGTACCAAATTTGGTGCCTTTAAAAAATTATACCTCTGTTTGTGAAAAAGTGGCTCAATAGATTGATGTCCAAACACTGAGAATATAAACAAACATACATTCCTTGGTCAAAGCAGTATGCGGTTCGTAGCTCATCAGACTGCATATTGTTTCAATGTATTATAAACTTTGTGGCTGAAAGTCTCCTGCTCTATGGCTATAATATTTTGATGAGCACAAATGGAAAAAAAAAAGGCAAGAAAAAAAACCCCAACAATATTGGAACCGAATTATTTGCTAGCGAGGAAATTGGTTTTAATAGTATATACTTAGGTTTTTATCCAGAGAAAATGAAGTCAGTTTTTACCTAAAACACAGGAGGGCCTAGACCTTGCTAACAACTACAAAGAGGCTTAACAAGCCAAAGTGACAATAGTGCTATCAGGCATCACCAATTTTAATTTTACTGGCCTGAAGGTGTAAAGTACAGTACACGAGTGGGGAATAACAAGCTCGTGGCCTAAAACATGAATGCTGGAATAGGAACTGTCACAAACACCGTTACAGCCACCAAAGAGTTACACCAGCCAGCAAAAAAAAAAAAAAAAAAAAAAAAAAAAGTGCAGAAGGAAGAAAAGGGGAAGTCCCCCAGACACTGGAGTGGCAGGTTCTGGATCCCTTCACTGCCACTCTGCTGCAGAGCCCAGCAGCCTCGCAGAAGGGAGACACTGCCCCGAAGTCGAACCACGGCCTTGAGAAATTTGGGACCACGAAGGACGGGAACAAAGGCTCTTTTCACC